CACACACACACACACACACACACACACACTCACACAAATTCATAAAAATTCTTTGGCAGAGCTAGCCTGAGATGTTGGAGAGGTGGCTCAGAGGCTGAGAGCACTGGCTGCTCTTCCAGAGGACCTGGGTTCAGTTCCCAGCACCCACGTGTTAGTCCAATGCTTATCTGTAACTCCAGTTCTAGGGAGTCAGATGCCCTTTTCTGGCTTCTTTGGATACCAGGCAAATATGTGGTATACAGACACACGTGCAGGCAAAACACCCATATACATAAAACAAAATAAAACTTTTTTTAAAAAGCTATCCTGTAATCAATAAAGATTCAAGCATTATCTTGGAAAAAAACTAAACTGGGTGTGGTGGCCCACACCTTTAATCCCAACACTTGGGAGACAGAGGCAGGTGGATTGCTAAATTCAAGGCCAGCCTGGTCTACAGAGTGAGTTCCAGGACAGCTGGGCCTTTAATCCCAGTACTCAGGAGGCAGAGCCAGGCGGATCTCTGTGAGTTCGAGGCCAGCCTGGGCTACAAAGTGAGTTCCAGGAAAGGTGCAAAACTACACAGAGAAACCCTGTCTCGAAAAACCAAAAAAAATAAAAAAAACCAGAGAGAAAGAATAGTAGTTGCTTGTTAGCCTTTGGGTTAAGGTCAAAAGGTCTATTAGGTGAACACACAAAATTCTCTCCACACAATCTATTGTTATGGCCTGGCCAAAAGGAGGTTCAGAAAGAGCTGTGTGTGGTGGCACACCACTATCCTCCCCGCATGCAGAACACAAAAGCAAGAGAATCAAGAGTTCAAGATCAGCTTGTGCTTTATAACACAAATGTGTCAAAAAAAAAAAAAAAAAAGTAGCCTAGAGCCTGCTAATGGCTCAAGCGGCTCACTATAGGCCACACACAAAACAGCTCACAGGAGCCGTATTTGTTTTTGTTTGTTTTGTTTGTTTTTGTTTGTTTGTTTTTTAACCTATATCAATTGGGTATCTATTATGAATGGGCTACATACAAGCATAACAATCCTGCATAAGTGACCCAGCTTTTTATTTCCTGGGTCAGGGGAGAGGGCAAAGACAAAAAAGAAACTTAGCCAGGTTGACTATTGGAATCCTACTGCCCAGGAAGCAGAGGCAGAAGGATGCACAGTTTAAAATGAGCCTGGGGCTAGACTCCTGTCTCAAAAAACAAAACAAATAAACAAACAAAAACAGAGCAAGCTGGCTGGTGGTGGCGCACACCTTTAATGCCTGCACTTGGGAGGCAGAGGCAGGTGGGTCTCTGTGAGTTCAAGGTCAGCCTGATCTACAGATTGAGTTCCAGGACAGCCAAGGCAACACAGAGAAACCCTGTCTCAAAAAAAAAAAAAAAAACAAGATAGGGCTGGCCATCTGGCCCAGTGGGTAAAGGAGCTTGCTGCCAAACACTGCTTCCTAAGTTTGGTCTTCAGAACTCTCATGAAGGAAAGAACTGACTTCCTCAATTTCTCCTCTCACCTCCACACAAGTGCTGTGGTGTGTATGTACACACACACACACACACACACACACACACACACACACACACACACACACTAAAAAGAAAAAAAAACTAAAATAAAGGCAGGTGTGGTGACACATTCCAGCAATTCTAGCACCGTGGAGCTGGAGATTCAGGAGTTCAAAGCTAGCTTCAGCTACACAGCGATTTCAAGCTCTCCAGGGCCCAGATAAATAAATGTACAAGAAAAATAAAACAAAAGGTGTGAAACTTGGAGTGGGGTTATGGGGATGTCTCAGTGATATTTGATACTTGGCTTGAGTCAGGGTCTCACGTAACCCAGGCTGGCCTAAACTGTTGTGAATATTCCTGAAGCCCTGACCCTCCAGCCTGTACCTCTCCAGGGTGAGACTAAGAGGTGCCACTTGGCAGAAACTCGACAGCAGAGTGAGAGAGGAAGAATGCTGAAGCCAGAGTTTCCAGCGCAGGCTAGAGCCAGTGCAAAGACCCCGAGGTGCTGTTTGTCAGGCAGGTAAGCCAGTTGAACTGGCTTGGAAACGCCCAGAGAGGAAGTAAGAGAAGTCGCTAGAAGTTTAGACCTTTGTCCACATCCAACAAAGTGAGACGAGACCCTTGAAGATGACGAAAGGAGAAAGAAAGAAAGGAAAAAGAATTTGTGCCTCTTGAACTGAACACGGCCGGAATACAGAGAGACCCGGGGAGAGGTGCCTGCAGCCAGGGCGGTCCGAGGGAGCCTTCCCTAGGAGGTGACATTGGAGCAGGGACCAGAAAGTGGAGAAGGAGTTAGGAATTCAACGATTGGGGGAAGGGAGAGAGAGACTGGGCCTTGAGAAATGAAACCAGAGGCTAAGCCACCAGGCCTGGCAGGCAAGGGGAAGGGGGGGGGGGACCTCGCCAGCTGGGGAGGGAGGGAGGGAGGGAGGGAAAGAGGAAAGGAGGGAGGGAAGAAGGATGGTCCGGGGGAGCGTCCCGCCCCTAGCCAGCCGCCCCACCCGGCCCCTGGGGAGGGAGGAGGCGCCAGGCCGGCTGCCGGCCTCTGCTGCTGCCTCCCAGGTCTCCTGCCCGCTGGCCAGCCCGGTTCGGAGGGTGGGCAGGTGGGTGGGACTCAGCCACCGCGCCACGCCCAGGCCCTCCGGGGCCCATCCCCCACCAAAGTCCAGTAGAGGCGGCCGGGTTGGGGAAGGTGGACTCTGGCCTCCCGGGCTGGTCCCTCTGTAGGGCCAGCCTTTCCACTTCTAGGGCCAGTTCTTAATTAGGGAAGGAGCTTGGCCGCCCTGAGCCTCCATATGTTCACCTGGAAATGAGGGGGTGCTTCTTAGACTGGCTGGTCGCTGCTGTCAAGCTCCTGGGTTATTCCTCCACCTCCTCTTCATCCTTCTTTCCCTCTTCCTCCTCCTCATCTGTTTCTTTCTGAGCACGTTCTCTCTCAGTAACGTAGACTTACCCAGAAGTGGTCATTCTCCTACCCTACCTCCCAAGTGCGGGGATGACAAGGTTTGTGCCACCACGCCCAGCTCCTCTCACTTGCTTTAGGGAAGTAAAAGACTTCGAAGAAAAAGGTGAGTCAGACCTCATCCCCTCAGCCGAACACTCTCAGTGGCTTCCCTCTCTGCAGGAGAGAGGCTAACCTCCTCCTAGTGGGGCAGTCATTAGACCCTGCATGCTGGCCCTCACCCTCTCAACTCTTCTGGTGATCAACCCCTTGCTCCATACTGTGGCAATCATACTGAGGGGCTTCACTGTTGGACAAACGTTCTGCGCATGCTCTGACTTCAGGGCCTTTTGCATTGGTGGTTTCTCCAGCATAGCTTTATCCCTCACCTCCTGTAGGACTTCATCCGAATGTCACCCTGTCCATGAGCCCATTTTTGGTCATTTCATCTAAATAGTATTGCTGCCCCTCACGCCCCCAGTCACATGACTTCCCTTCTAGAACTCATGGTCTTCCTGCCTCAGCCCCATATGCTTGACTCAAGGCATACACCTTCACCCCAGCTCCGACCGTTCAG